CATTTTATTTTTTATTATACAGCAAGCGAACCAGCGATGGGAATTTTGGTTTTAATTTTACTATTTTCGCAAGCAACAAAAAAGTTTCCTTTTATTGGCGGGGCGTTTTTCATCAATCATCATCTTTGGCACAGCGTTCGGAAATTTGTCCTTGTCTTCCCACCTACACTTATTACTTACACACTCTCCTCCCCCGCCTCGTCTCGCAACAGAACACTCTCCTCTACTTATGTCCGCATCTCTCTAATTCTCTTCACCTTTTTATTATTACATTACCGGCATTGGACCTCTCAAAAAGGGGGGGCCGCCAAAGGAAGATAACGAAACAGATTCTCCCTCCCCATCGAACTTTTCGGATGGCTGGACGGGTTGAGAACTGTTTCCCTTTTCTTGGAATGAAAAGGGGCGGGGGTTCATGGGTTGAATTGGGAATGAGCTTGAAAGCTCTCCCTTCCTCCCTGGCTGCTGGCCTTTCTTCCATCTACTAGATAGTTTTCGCATATACATATATACATATATATCTCAATATCAAGATCACTAGAAATAAGTTCCACGTTTCCTGATTATACAATTAACAAACACATAGCCTAATAAAGTCTTAAATGGTTAATCTCTGCTATTAGGAAAACATACATGATAAAATAAACCCACACCCAACCCAATCCAACTTTAATCCTCCTAGCTAGGTATGTAGTTACATAATTTGCATCTAATCTAGTTAACCTTCTGCATCCAGCTAGATCGTACGGATAGACGGGACCTATAAGCTAGTATAGACGAGACGAGACGAGATGAGATGAGACGTGATAAGAGGGCCTGGCATTAACACACAGGGGAAAAGAAAAGAGAGATGAGGTGTATGTATGTATGTATGTATGTATGTATGTATGTATGTATGTATGTATGTATGTGTATTATCATCATTATCATTAGTCTCATGAAGTGTTGGTTTTCTTTCTCATGTTCTGAAGCACCAATGTTAAACAAACAGTGAATAGAAGAAGCTATAACTAGTTACCTGTTATTGTCACTGTTAGCTACCCCCCCCCCTCCAAAACAGTAGGACCGTGATCTGTTGGCGGTGCGTTCAGTCTCGAGTTTTGATTGTATAGACCGTATTTTCTAAGGAGGCTGGTTCGTCGACGGCGAGTATTCGATTGTTCTTTCTGCCCTTCCTCGAGAGCAAACGCTTTGCTCCTCGCGTGTAGAATTTGGCTCCTTCGTCCCTTGCACAAGATTGTCCGATGTGAGTCCATGTCGACTGACGGTGAGACGGAATGCGATTATTACTACTATTGAGGCAAGGCCCCCCCATCAGCTGTGGGTGCTTGGAAGGACCCTGCAACCCCGTTAGATAGGGTGACGAGAGCAATCCCGAAGCTCTCCGGCCGCACTGTTCCAATCTTTGAGGTTAGCGCTCGCAGCTTGATGTATGGAACTAATGGAACTATGGATGAGGGCCGGCGGGTCTGCGGCTGACTAACCGCGGGAAGCGGGAGCTAGTGGCGGAACATAGTTAGTCCGATTCCGGTTGCGGCCTTGGCGCAGATAACGAGGGCATTCTGGCAATGTAAGACGGGGAAATGGAGGGTGTGGCTGCAAACCGCCCACAGTGGTTACTGCGATGTCCTCGCTTGGCTGGCCGGCAAGCCACATGTTTGGCTTCTTGTCCCTCCTCCCCACAGTCAGCTGTCAGCCTCCACCTGCAGCCTCCATTTGTCGTCCAAGCTTGTTTCGTCTTCCACCGCCTCCAACCTCGTCTCTTCTCCATCTCCATCCTCCCCGTCGCCATCTCCATCCCGTTCCACTCACCAACTTCCAGCCTCCTGTGTTGGCCCGTCTATGTGATCTGATCTCCACGCCCGTTGCCTACGGGTTTCTGATTTCACTCCATAGCTAACTATTCCCTGCCCGTCTGCCTGCCTCTACGGATTTATCGTCGCCCTGTATTGCCTTCTGGCCTGGTACTTGAATGAACCGGGCCCTCTACAGCCAGCTCCCTGTCCGTGACTTCTAAACCATGACAGTCTGGCCCTCCATCATCCTGCTCCAAATCCAAAAGGAGCTTCATGGTGCCTGACACGCTGTAAGACTGTCGTGGGATCACTACGCACTCCTTTCTACCAGCCTAACCGCAACTTCGAAAACCTATCCCCAACGGGGGACAGAAACTTAACGCTGAGCGGTGAGTAGGTGGATCCTTTCTTATCTTCCCTGAACTGTTTTTGCCAATCAGGGATGGGGATGGAGCTGTATTTTTGATGGGCCTGCCGAGACTCTGGGGAGAGGAATGCACCTTCAAACCCCGCAAGATGCTGGTCTCTAACTCCTGGTTATTCATTTAGAGTCTTCTGAAGCACACTTCCTAAGCATCCCGCATTAATATACCTTCTCCCGATTATTCCATCCACTCCACTCCGTATATCTACTGGGGGCCTCTGCTGCCGTTGAGCCAGCCGTTACATATAAAGAAGGGAAGAATCGCTCAGACTACTTGCGCTGAAATCGCCTACCACATTGGAAGATTGCCAAATCCCTCAAACACTCGATTCTACTCCCAATCCTACATCGTTCCAATATCACCAATAATACGCCCGAACGGTTCCAAGAATAGATACCGTGATTCAATGTCCGAATCGCCGTCTCCAACAACTTCTCCTGACACCAGCTCGTCCGCCTTGGCGTCTGATGGGACAGTGCCATCGCACCAGGATGACGCCAGTGTCTCTACCTTTGACGGCTCAAGCGCATTAGCGGGTGATTTACTGGCACGCCGCCGGTCGATCCAGTTCAACGTTGCGGGGTCTGATGCCGAACTATCCAGAAGACGGGCTGAAAGCCTGAGGAAAAATTGGACTCGTAGTAGTCTGAATAGGATTCCGTCCCCTCCACCGCCAAGGTTAGTTTATAGCCCCAGCATTAATCACTCGCCATCTGGCTTTCATTCCCTAGCGAGGATTGCAGACGACTTATCTCATTTTCCTTCGCGTGCCTTTGTGGAGGCGTGGCCGGGGGTCTGCCTGTGAATTTCTGGTGTTCCCGTCCCGTTGAGCCTAGGTATTTTAAGCTTCAACCCCCCGCATGGTGGTTCGCTTATGTATCTAGCGTGCCCCGCTCCTGCAAATCAGGGCTGGACTGCGCCTCGCTCTGGTTCTGCTCCGCTGCGACTGCCCGGGACGAGTCATAACTTGCAACGAGCATGCAGCGGGCGGCAAACAATCCAATCACCACACCACACCTCACGCACACGCACCCGCACACACTCACAGCATGCAGTCTGCTCATTCTGATAGCCACGACGAGTCTCATCCCGACATTACGCTAACCACCTCTTCTGACAATAATAGCGCCTACAACCGCGGGGTCTCTTTCGACACCTTCGACAATCGCGATGCCACCGATTTCTCGCTGACGCTCAATTACAAGCACAAAGACTACCATGCCAGCAGGCGCAGCCGAACTTTCCTCTGCGGTACTGACCAGAACGATTACTCCGACTTCGCCCTCGAGTGGCTGATTGACGAGCTGGTCGACGATGGCGACGAAATAGTCTGCTTGCGGGTTGTCGAGAAGGACTCCAAGATTGCCAGTGACTCGAGCGTGGAGGAGGGAAGATACCGCCAGGAGGCCCAAAAACTCCTTGACCAAGTTATCGCGAAGAATAGCCAGGATGAGAAAGCGATCAGCCTGGTCATGGAGCTGGCGGTTGGGAAGGTGCAGGAGATCATTCAACGAATGGTATAACCCTCTTGCGACCGTTTCTCTCTCTATATATATGGCAGCTTATGCTAACCTGTTCTTGAGATTCAAATCTATGAACCAGCAGTCCTTATAGTTGGCACCCGTGGTCGCAGTCTCGGTGGTATGCAGGGCTTACTTCCTGGCTCCGTGTCGAAATATTGCCTCCAACAATCCCCCATACCGGTCATCGTCGTCCGTCCTTCTACAAAGCGCGAGAAAAAGAAGAAGAAACGTCTCGCAAATTCGAAACGCAACTACAACCATCTTCTTCGGATGAGCGAAATGAAGAGTGGCCGGCTCTTTGATAAGTCTGGCAGCGCTGAGAGCAGCGCGACCAAACTACCTGAGGAGGAAGCAGCGGTGGCCGAAGCTGTGGGGATGCATCCACCTAACCCTTACGATCCTAGCCTTGGTCGTGATCCCCGACTGTCGTTCTCGAAGGACACCGCATCGACTGGGGGCACGGATGATGAGAGAAGCGACCATGGACGCAGCTCCAGTATTCCAAACTCGGAAGACTTTTCGTCCGTTGTATTGAAGAGTCCAGGGCTGGAAAACCTCGAAAGCCCTGCTGTTACTGATGGCGAGGAAGAAGATGAGGATGATGATGACGATGACGACGATGGCCCCCCAATGATTCACAGTCTAACTTCCGGGGATCATAGGCGGGTCAGATCTACTGACGATGCTGCCTCATCAGGATCGAAATCTCCCCTCGTTTCTATTACCAATGTTCCTATTAGGGAAGCGACCCTGAATAACCACGAAATACATTGACGATTCCATGCATGAAGGATATTATCGACTTCCATTCAACCGAGGTATATCATAGAACGCATGGCAGGAATGGGTGGCTTTTATTTTTGTTTTGATGTCCCTTTTTATCTTGCGAAACGGATTGACGACCTGACGACTGAGAGTGACGTTTCTTGTTTGGTTTGGATTTTATCTTCCTGTTTTCTATGGTTACTGTTATTTGCCGCGCTCGTTCTGGCGTAGGCAGCATGTTTCCCTTTCCAGATTTCATTTTTGTTTTGTTTTATTTTAAATCCCTACTCCGTGAATAATTGATACCAGGAGCTTTCTTTTGACTCCCTATTCTCTCGTACAAACACACATACATTTGCAATATTGGTCTCATTTTCATATATCTTTTTGGCTTCTACTACGGCTTTCCTATGCATTGGAGGATGGCTCAGTCAAACTATCCACTTAGTTATCCAATCCCGACGTGGTTGTACTTATTCCTCACCCACGACGGGCAATTGGTTTAGTGGTATAATACCCCCTTAGCATTCAGCCTATCCGGGCTCTGCATGGGGGTGGTCCAGGGTTCGATTCCCTGATTGTCCAATTATTTTTGCCAGCTTTTTGCCATATTTTTTTATCGTTTTGGGTGGGGCTGTTTGGCAGGGTGACTATCTAAATGCTATCTGAAAGAAATGCCTTTACAATTGTGTAGCATTCCTAAAGGTTAAATCCTGCCTCTGTCCACTTAGAATTAGCATTACAGGAGAGTTACAGGAGGAACGGAAGATATATATCATGTTTCTCGTCCATACATACTGCCATCTGGCTGCCGTAGCCCAATAACTCTGAGAATTATTTGTTGGTGGCGGGGAGAGCTCTCCGCGCCAAGCAATGGCCCACCCAAGCTCTGATCATCATTCCCTTCCTCAACCTCCCCCATCCTCCAGGACCAAAACCAGTAAATTTACCCCGTGGCTCTACCTATCTCTAAACCCCCCCCCCCTTTTACCCTTCAAGATGCCAACCCACTCCTCCCAACAATAAACCAAAAAAAATCAATCCATCCATGCCGACCCCCACGGCCGCCCTCCCCTACCATGAACCCCCCATCCCCACCCTCCTAATAATTTCCACCTTCCTCCTCCTCCTAAACCTCATAAACTACCTCTTCGACAACCTCATCTACTGCGGCCTGCTCGGCCAGCTCTTCGTGGGCGTCGCCTGGGGCGCGCCGGGCGCGCAATGGCTCAGCATCGAGTTCCAGGAGGCAGTGGTTGCGCTGGGGTATTTGGGGTTGGTATTGCTTGTTTATGAAGGTATGTAACAAACATCTTATAACCATCCTAAATACTTGTCACTAACGAACGTGACACAAATGCTTCCTAACAGGCGGTCTATCAACCTCCCTCCCAGCCCTGCTTAAAAACCTCCCCCTCTCCTCCGCCGTCGCCGCCACGGGCATCTTGCTCCCCATCGCCCTCTCGTTCTCCCTCCGCGCGCTCATCCCGCATATAACGGCCTTGCAGGCCTTTGCGGCGGGCGCGGCGCTTTGCTCGACGAGTCTGGGCACGACGTTTACAGTGCTGGGGACGAGTGGGCTTGTGGGGACGAGGTTGGGGACGGTGTTGGCGGCTGGCGCGATGATGGATGATGTGGTTGGGTTGGTGTTGGTGAAGGTTATTTCGGGGATTGGTGGGGAGGGGGAGGCGGGGTTGAATAAGGTGGTGGTGGTTAGGCCGGTGGTGGTTTCGGTGGGGTGTGTGGTTGTTTTGGTGGCGGGGTGTTGGGGGTTGGGGAGTAAGTGGGGGAGGAAGGGGGTTAGGGCTGTGATGGGGTGGGTTGAGAGGATGGGGAGCGAGGTAGAGGGTGGGAGTAGAAATGGGAGGAGGGTTTGGAGGTGGTTGATGCTTGGTGGTGGGCATATGGCGTTTATTGTACAGACGCTGCTGTTGATTGGGTTTGTTGCGGCGGCCGTGCATGCTGGGACATCAGGGTTGTTCGCGGCATATTTGGCGGGAACATTTGTTAGTTGGTGGGATTGTGAGTTTGGGCTTGGGGCTGGGGAGGAAGGTGTCGGGAATGCTGGTGGAGTGATGCGGAATGATATGGAGCGGGTGTCTGGCCCAGAGAGTCCCGATGGTATAAGGAATGGATCTTCAATAGATCGCGATGGCGCGGAGACGACAACTCCTACAAGTGTCCGCTCGAGAAGCCATTATGCGAATTGGACGGGGCTTGAGGTTTACGAAAGATACTATTCCGCCATTGTGGAGAGGGTGCTCAAACCGTTCTTCTTCGTTAGTTCTCTCTCCATCTCCTGATATCCTCTCCTCCTAACATACCTTGCAGGCTTCAATCGGATTTGCAATACCCATGAAGGACCTGTTCAAAGGCCACATTATATGGCGCGGAATAGTCTACACGGTCCTAATGCTCCTGGGAAAATTACTAACAGGCATCTGGCTCGTCCGGCTCGATTTCAGCAGCACGACTGCTATTCTCTTTCCTACCCCTCCCGTCAAACGACTGCTCCGGTCTTGCTCACCAGCATGGCTCTGGTGCATGCGGAAGCCGAAGGACGAAAAGCAACCCCCTGCGTCTGGGGCTGCTATCACGAGGGGTCATGATGGCGTTGACGTCCGTGCTAACAGCCATGCCGCTGCAGACGCCACCATTTCTGCTGAGGAGAGGCAGCCCAGGGCGCCATCGCCAGCAATCCCAGCTAGTGGTGGCGTAAAAGAAGGCCAGACACAACAGCAGTACCGGCAGGAGCAGCACACTGAGCACAGGGACCAGCATGATCCTAGCAACAAAACCAGCGCTATGACGGAATCGCCTTTGAAAAAGTGGCCAAGGCCCCGGTCTCTCTATCCAGCCTCCATCCTTGGCATGGCCATGGTGGCTCGCGGCGAGATCGGCTTCCTCATCTCCTCGCTAGGTGAGAGCAGTGGAATCTTCACCGGACAGCCAATGGGCGCGGGTTCGGGGGGCGATGATGATGATGGCCAAGAGGCGGCGGCATCCGACATATATCTCGTTGTCACATGGGCGATCATGCTGTGCACGGTTATTGGACCCGTGACGGTGGGAATGCTGGTTCGAAGGGTGAAGAGGCTTCAGGAGCAGCATGATAAGGGTCGAGGCCATGATGGGGGGCGCGAAGGTGTTGATGATCCGCTGGGGATCTGGGGGGTGCGTTAGGTACAGTGTGGGATTGGGACCGGGACCGGGGACCGGGCTTGTGCTTGGCCGGGGTTGGAGAGCAATAATTGCGTTTATATTGTATAGAGAGGTAGGTGGACCCTTTTTACGGGGGGTCATTGTTTCCGTTGAAGAACTTTTTGTCGTTTTTGTATATGTAACTAGGGCGTTTACATGCGGGATCACTATCGTAGATTGGTTTTACAGAGTCCTGGGTTGGTGATAGAAAAAATAGAAACTAAGCAAGTTACAAAGAAGATTACTTTCTTGAGTTGTCAGTCTTTCTTTAATTAAATGGAGTGGGTATCTGTCAATTTAATGACCAGACTACTGCACTGTTTATGTATGAGTGCCCAGCTGTATTGGATATTAAATTATCTCTTCATTTCAACCTCAATTTTCAAGTGCCTTTGCTAATGACAGCTGTCATATCAGAAACATCCAAACATTGAATTCATGTCAAGCAATACAAAGCGACGTCGCCTCACTATGTATGTACATACATGTACCTATGTAGTTAGCCCTAATCCAAGTGATCAGGGGGAGGACCCTTTACTCAACTAGCCCGTCAGAGTGTTTGGTCTTCACCCAACCTCCTCCATCACCCATTTGTCAGCGATATCTTATTCAAGCTCTGGACACACTTCTCACTGGCAGGAAATAGTTCCCCGGCAGTGGCCAGCATGCCGGTGACCTCACTTCGAAGCTGGACAGCTCTCTATCATTTGCTTCCCGGCTTTTGGGGAACCGCTAAGTTCTAACTAATGGTCCCCAAAACATGTGCTCAAGCGAGGTTGGATATCGGCATCAGCCAGACGAAAAAACTATGCATATGCATCTAGCTAACCAGGAATCCCGCAGTAAATAGCTGATGGAGCTTCGGCCAACAATATGTGTGTATGTCGATCTTAGTTACGGGTCTCTGCTTCCGCCTCCCCCTCTTCGGTCGAAAAGGTTCTTTTTCTCCTCTTTCTCCAGCTATTATTCCTGCTCCGGCCGGGTTGCCAATTAGCTAAGAGAAATACGAGCGCGAATCCCTGACTCTGCACTGGACCCTGCACCAGGGGATGGGGCGCGCGGATGCGGTGGGAGTCCAGGGTGCCAGCCCACCCCCCACCAGGCCCTTGCGCTCTAGTTCCTCACGGACCTATTTTTTGACAATCATGCTGCCGTTTATGAATGAAGAAATGGGCTGAGGAGAAAGAGAGGGGCATGCAGGCTGGGGAGAGACCGAGGACCCATGGATGCTACCGCAGCTTGCAGATTTGACGATGACAGCTCTGACCGACGGATATTGCTATGCATTGTTTCGTTTGAAAGAGGATGAAGAGGACCCGGAGAGATTGATATCCAATTCTCTCTCGTTTCATTACAATCCATGCCGTCTCTTATCTCCTGATCTCATCTAATATTTCAACCCCTCCCTGGCTAGCTACCAAGGGTTGCTACCAAAAAGCAAGTCCTCTAGCAATCCGCTGCCCTCCGGCCTCCCATTCTCTCTAAGACACAATATAAACCCTCCCCCCATGGACCGCATGTCCTTCATCCCCGGTGCGCCCGCACGGGAAGCAATTGAAAACGCCTCCGGCCGCATCTTCACCACCCGCATCGGCGCTCTCGATTACGCGGACGAATTCATCCTCAAATGCCCCAGCGGCCCTCAACCCTTACTCTACCAACTCTTTCTCGCCATGCTGAGTGACGGCGACGAGCTCGAGATCAAATTCGGCCTGCGCGACCCCACCAACACGGAAGAAGATGACCCAGCCGGCGAGCTAATCGGGCACACATGGGCCCTGCTCAAGGATGCGAACGGGGGCGAGAAGCTGCTATGGGAGGTGGGCAGGAAGACGGCGCCAATCTCGGACGCGGATGCGGCCAAGGCGTTTAATGCATATAGGCAGTTATTAGGAACGTATCAGCATCAGCAGCAGGAACAACAAGCAGAACAGGCACATACACACGGCATGATGCCAATCTCACCGCCCACACAAATACCAACCGACATCCCCCTCCCCACCCCCTCCCCTCCACCCCCCTCCGCCGGACCCGTCCGCTCCATCTCCCGCGCCCTCTCCCCTTCAAACCTCTACTTCGCCGCCGGCGTCATGTTCTACTTCGTCGACCTATCCATGGTGCCGCCCTCGCGGCCGGAATTTTACCATACCCCGCTCCATCTCTCGCGCCCGATGCAGGCGTTTGATGCGCTGCTGCTGTCCGCGCTGGTGACGGTGGCGATTGGTGCGCCGCCGTTGGTGTTTGCTGTGCTGCAGGGGAATGAGGGGTTGGGGGAGATGCCTGGGTCGTTTGGCAGGGCGGTGTATGCGAGGGCGCCGGATTGTAGGGTTATGGAAGGGGGGGTGGTTATTGTTGGGTGAGGGATTGGGAGAATGTTAGGGGTA